CAAACACACACACACACACACTCAACCACTCACGTATCTTGGCACCATTTCCCCCCCCTCTCTCGCTCTCGCTCGCTCGCTGCTGGTCTTCAGCACGTGTGTGTATACATGTGTGTGTATGTGTCTCCGTCTTCCCACCTCTGTCCCCCCATAACCCCCCTATCCCCCCACCTTGTTCGTACGGACCTCCTGCTCGGTGAGGTTCCTCAGCAGCGCCACCCAGCTGCCCCCCGGGGGGAGGTACGCGGGGCCCAACAACACGGACAGACGCTGCAGGAGGGGGTCCTGCAGGGCGGCCGGGGGGGGGAGCGGCGGGGTAGACGGGGGGGGTGTAGGGGGGGAGTGGCGGGGTAGACGGGGGGGGGTAGGGGGCGAGCGGCGGGGTAGACCGGGGGGGGGGTAAACATATGCAAGAGCGCGGTGGGGGGTTAGCGGGGGGAAGGGTGTATGAGAGATGTGGGGGGAGGGGGTGTGTGGAGGAACGGAGGGGAAACGGAGGTAAACTAAAGTTATGCTCAGACAGCCATCAAATACCCCAGGTACTAAAATAATGTCTCAACCTGGATCGGCTCCGGAACCAGACCCTCCCGCCCACTCCTGCGCTTTTTCGCAATCTGGCCCAACCCCAACAAAGGGCTCTCGGGGCTTTCAACTCCCCCTGCCGTACCTCGTACCCCCAGAGCAGCTCTTGTGCCGTACGCTTCGTGAACAGCCCATCCACGTGGCTGTCCCGCCAGGCTGATAACACGCCCACCAGTACGTCAAGCAGCGGCCGTACACCCGGTGTGGATATGCTGTACGAGTGCAGCACTTCCAGTACGCCCAACAGCGGCAGATTGAGCGTTACGATGACGTCATCGGGGCTGGCGGCGGAGAGCTCCGGTACGAATACGTGATAATCCCATTCCTGCGTACCGTACCATGCCGTACCATGCAATCGTACATGGACGATATCATCATTTAGAGTGTAATCTTTTTATTACCTAATACTGCAGGTTTAACATTTAACAGAGCACTACCAGGTACCACATTGCCACCTTCGGCCCCGTTGCCTTTCCAACCGCCACAACTACCATAACCAACCTTCACTGCTACACGGCCGTTCCGGTCCCAGCGCGGATCCAGTCGTACACGAGATTTGACGTACGTCAGGGGACCCACCTCCACCTGCGTATATCCGGGCAGGACACCAAAGCCAGGACGGATTGTACGGCTTGGTGGTTAGTTCGTTGGTAGTTGTTCTTCCTCCCTGTCCTCGAGTAGGGGAGGAGCCGGATGCTCCGTGAGTTGATGGCAGTTGGTTAGTTGGGGGAGGCAGCTTGCTGCGGCGGTTGGTTGGTTGGCCAGTGCGAGCTACCCCTCGTGGCTGCACCCGCCGCCCCGAGGGACATGTCGCCCCCGGGGGGCTGACGAGGGCCGAGACTGCTTCCCCCCGCAAACACACACACACACACACACATACACACACACACACACACACACACACACGCGCACACACACACACGCGCGCGCGGCCCCAACCTTGACCCAGATAATGGGGGGGAGAGGGAAGAGGAGCCCCAAACCCCGCACCCGCACCCGCACCCGCACACGCACCATATTGGGTTTCGCGCCCCCCCTCACTGCTTGCAGGTTGGTGAGGTTCCACATCCAGACGCGGAAGTAGTCGGGCTCACCGCCGGGGGCCGGGGGGCGGTCGCCGCGGTACCTGGCTGCGGTGACCCCCGCGGGGGGTGGGGGCGGGGGGGCCGGGGGGGTGGGAAGGGAGGAAATAGATGGTGGTGATGATGGTGGTGATGATGGTGGTGGTGATGGTGGTGGTGATGATGGTGATGATGATGATGGTGGTGATGGTGGTGGTGATGATGATGATGATGATGATGATGATGATGATGATGATGATGATGATGATGATGATGATGATGATTATGCAAAGTCAAGGAGGGAAAACAGGTACCGACGTCCGGTGGTGTGGGAGGAGGAGCTGGACGAAGGGGGATACAGAGATTTGGGTCGTGTATATCTCTGAAGTGAACGTGTGGAATGAGGAAAGGTCGACCATCATGATCGACAGAGGCAGTGAGCAGCAGTCAACCGAACACACAGACACATCCGGTGCATGTGTAAGGGTGTACGGGAGCTGTACGACAGCTCCATGTGTGCGTGTGCATCCAGTGTGATGCTGTTCCTGTCCTCCTCCACAACTGCCAGGTTCATTGACCATGCTACTGAGGGTGTTTGTTCGTTGGCCGCACAGAACAGAAGCTCTCACCGTCCACCTCTGGCGGCGAGTCCGGTCGCCAAACGATGTTTTGCAGAATCTGCAGGGACCCGACCGGAGCGGCCATTTCGTTGCTGCGCCCATCCAAACGGGGTGGGTAGAGTGGCTAGAGACACACGTGAAGAAAACTGATATTACGCAATAGTTATTATACCATATTGAGGTCTGTGAGTCGGTAAAATAGTCGCAACGCAAAGGACTTGCGCAATATCGACCAGTACCCATGGCCCTTGGGACAGGGATTTCGCGAAAACTCAGCAACGCCGACAGGACGTACCCCTTTGTGAAGTGCATCGTCCACAAACGGCGGTCCAAAGTAGCCGATCCCCAGAAATAAGAGTGCAACAACGGTTGCTGCAATTGACAGATGCCGCAAGATGGTCGACGTAAGGGAAGGAGGCATAGCGACTTAAGTAATTTCACATCTGCCGTCTGTAGAAACTTCACAGCCTTATCGTCGTTTATTTCGAAGGCAAGCCTTGACCAAACCCTTCGATAAGGGAACCTCGGGTGGCCAACGACCGAGTAAGGATGGATAACAGGAGTTAAAAAAATGCGTTTCATTATGCGAAAACGTCGTCTTTCTATAACCTAACCGACTTCTGTTCCGCGGTTGGATCCGAAAAACGCACGTCATCATGAAATACTCGCCGTCAGGCTCCCGGTTATAGTTTTTGCGCCCTGGTTCAGTATGACTAAAATACAACCTAGGCCCACTTTATAGTCTGCAGAGTGCAACAGATGCGGCTCAGGTGCGGCATAGGTGTCCCCCGACAAGTAGGGTGTCCGCCTGGGAAAAGGATGTCAGCCCGTCACTGCAACGAGCATAGGCCCATTTGTAGCTTATGGTTAATTGCAACCCACAGACTGACACCCGCGTTCTGTCTGAATTTTGCATGTGAAGGAGATACACATGAGCCGCCTGATACCAGCCCAGTGTTTTGCACGATGTAGAGGCCCGTAGAGATGTGGGCCGATCTTTGACCTTTCTGTGGGAGCGTGCGTGAACCCAACTGAGTACCGTAGCACAGTACCATATGAGCGCATGAGCACGAACTCAACCTTTCTTGCGGTACAACAATACCTTATCATCGGAGCTAGCAGTTCCATCGCGAGCGAGCAGCTTCACCCGGGTGGAGGGCGGCTGCTGGTCGGTGCAGGTGCTTCGGGTACTGAGTCCACGGGCCAGCCAAGCGATGCAGCTGTCGACTACAAGACCGAAAACGCCAAAGCACGACCCACGTTTTGCAATCTGAACCTGAAAGGTACACGATACGCGAGGCCCACATGCATCAAGAACATGCTTATGGTAAGAAAGCCAACAAGCCAGAACCAAGCCACAACAGCAGACGCGAAATGGGATTTACGATTTCAGGAAGGGCCGTCGGACCAGCTCCGCGATGGCGTAAGTACGGCATGCCGTACACATCTGGAAAAACTTCTAAAAAGGCAGTTCCCAACTTCCTCGCTTCCTTTCTTTCTTCTGTATATCATTAAATCCGTCATGAAAACAAGAAACACCGAAACTTGGAAAGGGCGCCTAATGAGAACCTAAGGCTGCCTCTCCGCCACCTTGTGGATCAACGTTCGTGTTGCCGCGCAACCCCCGCAGGGAACCTGTGTGATTATAAATTGACCAAAAAACAAGGCAGGCATCGGCCTTAATCCCGAATGCCCACAATGCCCACAAACGCCCTGCCGCCAATAGAGCTTGTGGGGACACCTGGCGGGGTACTACATCAATGTCGTACTACACATATACATACATACATACGTACATACATACATACATACATACACAGCTGCACGCACAGGTCACAACTGCGTGTGCCCCCAAGTCCGGGGAATCACGCTGATGCTGGTGCTGGCGCTTTACCTTGCCGAGGAAGGGCCCCCCCCCCCCCGTGGCGCGGTGAGTTGAATCAACCTGGAGGCGGGAGGGAGGTCAACTGCGTGCCAGTGTGTTTTTTTGGTCTTTCAGGACACGGCAATGCCTCTCGCCTCGCGGGACTCTGCAGCCCAAAGAGCGACCTGACCTGACCTGACCTCTTACATTCACATCAATTAGCAAAGACAGGAAAGGACAGGCACATCACCTTACATTACATCACATCACACCACGCAGTCCAGATGATGTCCCTAGCGGCTGCCTTTCCAAAGGTACAGGCGCGTGCCGGTGACCGTGTGACCATATGACCCCGGTCCCCCCGGTGCCCACTACAAGCGGTGACCGCACATTACGAGCAGCTAGCCGGGGTGGAGCCCTTCCAACAACACAGGCCCACGGGTTGAGCGGCCATAAGTACCCGTATCCGTATGCAATTAGACACGACGACTGATAAGAGCAAAATCGCCGCGAAAGTGCAGCACCCACAGAACTGGGCCATCCCTTTTCTATCCAAAAAATTAAAATCTAGTGGGGGGAAATGCAACACAGCCACTACCAACTTCCGGTTTCGAGACCAACCTGCCAAGCCATATATTACTCCTTCCTATCACACCAAAATCACTTGATCTCCGAAAATGCTTCACAAACTTAACGATGATGCGGTGCCAGCACGCAAACTTTAACGGGACGCAAATCAGAAGTAACTATCATTATTATTATTATCATTATTATAGAAAGGCTGCACGGGTGCCAAACATTTATCATAAGCAAAACGCTCCGATCAGTTGATTTGTTGGATGCCGCTGCCTCCTGCCATCCTTCGTAATCCTACCGCTGCCTCCTGTCACATCAGAAATTAGTTTTTGCACATGGGAATGCTACTACCACTACCATTACCACTACTACTACTACTACGACGACGATGACGATGACGTCACGTGTCACAAGCACGTGGCAGGAATCCTAATTCATGTAATGGGTTTTTCCTTTCCAAGGGATTTATTGCCAAATCAGAACACCCCCACGCAGGCACGAGATGCAACTCTTATAACACTGAAAAGAGCCCATACTCATCCCCCCACCCCCACCCACCCCCACCCACCCACACATTGGCCCGGGTGGTGTGCGGAAAGGAGGGAACCATAAGGCCTTTATGCGTCAGCACCTGATCGCGACGGACGCCGCATGCATGCATGTCGAAGATAGTATGACGTGCACGAGGCAGCGAGGGGGCAAAGCGAGGGCAGGCAATTGATTAGCCGTGGCACGCCAATACCCCCTCTGCTTTCCCCCCTTCCCTTCCTGCCGGGGGGGATATCCCCCCCAGGGGCCCATTTACACGCACAACAGACCGCCTGTCGCCACCAAACGAACCTAGCTGAGCTGCATCGAAAAGGAGCGACCGACAGCGACATCACAGCAAAGATATGCGTCCACATGCGCTGAATTGCAATCCACAACTAACAGAAGCTAAACTTCTCATACCCCAGCAACTGCCAAACCTACCGAACCTACAGCAAATCAGCCTAACTAGCTCGCCGCGAAATGCCATCTCTCCCCCCAGTCAAGGAGGGGAGGGGAGGGGAGACAGTGGGCTTGGACCAACTGGCGGTTAGCTCTCTCTAACCAACTAATGGACTGACAACTACCAACTGACTAACGGAGTCTGGCGCCATACTTCAGATAGGCGACGTGTCCTCAGGCTCCGGGTTAAGTGGACGAGCATACTCATCACGCGCTGAATTAAAGACCGCCATTTCATTATTGCCATGCATCATCATTATCATCATCATCATCATCATCATCATCATCATCATCATCATCATCATCATCACACCTGTCGTGCAGTCACTGCACGAGAACACACATACTCTATTTTCACAGAGGTCAGATTCCCCTGCCAAAAAAATGCCCGCCCTAGCGTCCCCGCATCCTCCTACCAACGCAAGGCCAACAACCACCACCAACTACCACCACCAACTACCACCACCAACTACCACCACCACCACCGCCATCATTATTACTAATAATATCCACATCATCATCGTCGTCAGCATTGATCGGTCATTACAAAAATCCTCGGTGCGCACTCGGCGTTGGGGGAAGCGCGCGGAACCCCGAGAGGCCGACGAGAGAGCTAAACCCTAAGAAATGGCACACATGCAATCTTCGAGTCCACACCGCTCTCACACTTCACCCCCACCCACCCACCCACCCACTCAGGCCAGCCTTGCAACATCTTCCGTTGTTCCGTGTACACGACCCTCCGACACCCGCCCGCACGCTCAACGACCCCCCCCCACCACACCCCCATCAAGAACATCACCGCCTTTGGCAAACCCCCCCTCCCTCGACCACTTGTCTGCGAAACAGAGCGATAATGATACAGACTGATACACAGCGCGGTTTGATAAAATAGACAGGTTTGCAGACAGACGGACAGACAGCCAATCATCTAGCTGTCGCTCGTTAGGGATCGCCCCTTCTCTCCGTCCGTACCCACCCAAAACACACACGCGCACCTCCCCCTGGCCACTCCACGCACACAGGCGGCCCCCCCCCGCACAACACACCTCCAGGCTCCCCCTTCCCCCCTCCCCCTGCCCCCAACCCCCTCCACCGCAGTGGCACATGCCCCAGGCGGACCTCCCACTTCCCCTCGCCCCGCCACCTGCCAACCTAGTCAGCCGGGGGCGTGGAGCCGTACAGCCAGGTCGAGGCAGCAGCAGCCACAGCAGCCGGAGGCGGTTTCCTCGCCGGGCGGCCCCTGATTAGCTGGTCGGGGTCCTGTGCCAACCCAGGGATGGAGGGGGGGGGCTTTATAACCCTGGAGCGCCCGCTCGTCGATTGCCGTATTGGCTCCTGTACGGAGTTGCCTGTCGGCCGGCAAGCCAGCCTACTAGTCAACAATAAGGTCGAAACTTGCACAGTCAGCAGTGCCAACCAACTCACACAACTTCGCAACCAACCAACCAACCAACCAACTACATCACGTTCATATAGCACTTTCTGTTGTCGATGTTTCACTGGGGACCATCAGCAGCTGGTGGGCGTTGGCCGTTTACCCAACCGCTAACTACCGCATCACTAACCGCATTTCAACGTCCAAATCCCCGCAGCATCACCACCACTGGCCGTCAACCTGCCGCTGCCATGAGCAACCTCCTGCGTCAGATGCGAACAACATTGCCGTACCGTATGTCGTACCGTACGTAATAACAGCGCCAGTAACGCACGCCCAGGCATCAATAGTGTCAGATTCGTCTCGCAATCATTAAATCATTCCTTACTTTAAAGCTTCACCCACCACCACCACCACCACCACCACCTCTTCCTCCTCCTGTCCGCAACCTCCGCTCCTATCTGATTAATCTGTCGAGAGACGGAGACAGAGACATACACAACGAGCGATGTCCTGAAACACACGCACACGCACACGCATACCTAATACACACAAACATCTGAACACTACCTAGCTTTCATCACAGCAACACAGCCGAACACATGCATACGTACATACATACATGCATACACAAGCCAATACACGTAGCCAACCCCCAGCCCCCACCCACACTGCGCTGGCAGGTGTTGCGAGGGGCGATGTGGGGGGGGTTGCGCTAGATGTACGGCACATCTCACGGCACAGTACGGATACGGTTGCCTCCAATGCTACCTGAAGAAAGCTCATGTGCCGTGAAGAACAATTCTGGTGCGAATGCGCTTTTTCTTCCCAAGGTCACAGCCGCCGGAACCACTTGAAGCGTGTGTTTCGATTGGGCTGACGTAAACGGTCGTGCGTACGACAGTACGGATCATCTAAACTCCACCTCCACATGGCACGGTGGGCAATACACCTCCTGTCTCTCAGCCACTCGGAGTGAGGGACAGGACTGCCCGGGCCCCGACCCGGCTGAGGGCCCCGTATTTCCCCTCCCCCCGCCATCGCCACCACTGCGGCAAACCCCCGGCTCGGAGGTCTGCATTACATACATACGTGCATACATACCTACAGGCGCCGGTGCACATGGGCAGACACGCCTCCCCCAACCCGCCAATACCTCCCCTCCGCGACCCGCGGTCCGGGTAGCGATAGTGGCTGCCGCAGCGATAGTTGCATCAGCAGTAGAGCGTGTGTGTGTGTGTGTGTGTTTCGGTTCACGATACCACACAGCAGTTACCCGGGGACACCTGGGGGGTTGGGTGGGGGGAAATTTGAAAAAGGGACACACAAATAAAACACACACGCACACAGACACGCACTGTACGTGCAAACGAGCAGTGGACGAGCAATGGGACGACTGATGGGCGCTGAACGGGTGGTTAGTACGGCACACACCTGATATTTCCGCACATCCTAGCTCTCGTACGACAAGTACTACACAGCCAACAACACACACGCAACTTGTATGTTGGCTCGTGTCATGACACTTAACAACACGCAGCACAGCGCCGTACATACATACATACACAGGTGAACCTTTCCACCTTGCGTAACACCATCTCCCTGCCTCCCTACCACACACAAAACACACACTCTCCTCCTTCCCCCCTTCCCCCCTCCCCCCACCGCACCTACCTGCCCCGCTCTGGCCGCTTCCTCCATCCTCTCCCCCACTCGCTGGACGCCCTCACGGCACTCCAGGACCAGCCCGTGGTCTCGGAGCTCAGGGGGTGCCGACTCAGCTAACTGAAGAGTCAACCGAAACATGGCCTCAGACTCAAACAGCCTTTTCATGGGGGAGCAAGGGGGGGAAGGGGGGTTTGG